GTATAAGAGACAGGGATTACACTGCTGGTCTTCACACTGGAGCTAACTTTGGGTTTAGGCAGTGTTTGAACAAGCAGCTTTTTATTATTCAATATCTATATGATTCCCAGTCTATTGAGTAGAAATAGGTAACAGAGCAGAGTCTGTAATTTAATCGGTCGTCTACTTGCAGAACACTTTTGCAGACCTGTTTTATCTAGACTGTTCATCATCTAGATGAACTTCCACGCTTTATGTTCTTGAAAATATCTTCTCAGGGTTTTCTGCGAAGTGCCATGCTTCTTGCATGCTACACGCCAGTTGCAGTCTTGGTGTCTGTAAGTGTGACATTTGATTCTGTTAATGTTTGCATAAGCCACTTTGTTGTGTGCTTTCTGCAAATTTTTTAGGGAAAGTTTCATCACTTCTCTGTTAACACAAGCAGGGAGCAAATAAAGGATAATTTCTAAGACCAGTTCATCCAGTATTAAACCAAACCAAACTAAACCTGATAACTGCTGGAGGGGTGTATTACATTATGTACTTGTATCTGCTAACTAACATTTGTCAAATGGTTTTGGCATCTTCAGAGGTAAGAGGCGGACATGATTTTTATTTGAGAATTAATGAAACCTCAAACATACATTCAACTTTTCTTTTTTTTTTTTTTTTTTCAGAAAGAAGTGATCCATTTTATCTACCTCACTGTACAGCCCACTGTGAGAAGCAAACTTTGGTTTGCTATATATGTAATTGGGCTTAAATTATAGCCCTTCAGAGTTTGATTGTACTAGCTTCTTTAACTCAGTCCCTTACAGCTGTAATTCCCTCATCCTTTTTCTACTGCCTGCTCTTCTGTCGCTCAGATGTGGCCTGCTTCCTAATGCTCAGAAGATAACAGGGTACCGTAACAACTCGGTGTGGCAGAATTAGCACTAAGTTCATCCCTGGATCAGCCCAGGTTCCACTGGTACCTGCAGGCTGCAGAGTTGAAAGGTACCAGCTGCAAAGGCCTCCAAGATGTTTGGGCCAGTCATAAATAGATTTGACTGCCGAAGGAAATGAGTTATGTAGGGGAAAATGGATGTAGCATGTGGAATTTTGAAGAGTCTGGCAGGAAGAGGAGGCATCAAAAGAGAAGGAACAGTGAGGAAATCTGAGTTTTCCTGTTCTGTATAAATATACTTGTAACTGGCTTTCTGTTTGAGGCATTAGGGCACTTGCTAAAGGTATGGGATGAGAAGTTCCATTCCCCTAAATGTTTCATAATTTCTGTAAAACTCTCAAAGGTCTTGCTTTTCCCCATTATGAAAGGGAAACTTTTTTTTTTTTTTAAATTCATGAGAGCTTTTATGTTACCCTGAAACATTTTCATGCCCTACTCTAACTGGTGTGGGCAAGGATGATTTGGTACAGGAAATCATGACTGCGTTGTATGTCATCACAAACCCCCTCCCAGCACCCCATCGTTTTTGATGATCTTAAACAGAGTGTTTACTGGAAGATACGATGCCATTTTTGTGCATCCTGCTGAGGGTTGTTCCACTTGCTGAAATAAAATAAAGGAGGGACAGAGTGGGACTGTATCAAGAACACACTGACATCTCCTTCATTCTTGAGTGCAAGTTTAGGTTTTCTAAGCTCAGATCATCATTTTAAACTCTCAGAGTCGACAGGAGAGAATGAGTTCATTCTCAGCATTCATCTGTGGTCAGATGAATTGAAGAGTGGGTGGAGAAAAACACTGGCAGGTCGTTGTAGTTCCCTCTGCCACTGATAAATGATAAATGTCTGCAGCCTGATTTTACTGGGGACATAAGTCTTAAGTGTGGCGTTGAGTGCGTTGCTTTGGGAAGCCAGATTTGTCCTCTGTGCTAGTGGAGAAATCTGTGGGTAATGCTCCAGCTCAAGGCAGGGGTGCAGTAGCTTTCTGTTGGAGCTGAGGATTATTAACCCTGCTCTTTCTTTCTTTCTTTCTTTCTTTCTTTCTGCAGTACTGCCAGTAACTCAAACCGCAGCACGCCTGCCTGCTCCCCGATCCTGCGCAAACGCTCCCGGTCCCCGACACCGCAGGACTCCCAAGGAGACACCATGGTGGAAAAAGGCTCGGACCACTCCTCGGACAAATCCCCTTCCACGCCAGAGCAGGGTGTTCAGCGTAGCTGTTCCTCTCAGTCAGGCCGCAGTGGGGCCAAGAACTCCAAGGTGAGGAGCGAGCAACGGCTTTGGCCAAGATGTGCACGTGTCCCCAGTTCTAAACTCCCTAACGTGGTACACTGGCTTTGTCCTGTGCCTTTTTTTTCTCTGGCTAACTTTCCTCCTTCTTCCCCCATCATATTTCTGAAAATTCTCCTAACTTGGGAGCCCTTTGCGTTGGTCAGACTTCAGCACAATCTTATCTATCAGCGAGCTGAGCCCAAGAGTTGCTGATGGCTTGTACTGCAGTTGCATAACAGCTTATGTAGGCTAACTTTTTTGCAGTCAAGGCCCTGTTTCCTTGGGAGGCTTTGTGCTTTTCAGAAAGACCTTGAAAATCAGCTGTTGCAATTACATTTTATCATCAGGATCATGAAGGGTCATGGAACAGATGAAGGCTGCTCTGTGCAGACAGCTTGAGAAGGACCCATGCATTTCTCCGGTCCTGTCTAAGCCCTGTCTTGAGATGAGGTTCAAGTTGCGCAGAGTCTGTTTGCCATTCCTCTGCACGGTACCTCCTCTCGGTGCAGCATTATGGCTGTTTCAGCCAGGGTAGATGATATTTTCCCTAGAAATTGTCTCGTTTGACCGTATTAGAAACAGCCTTGTCTTTGCTGTACTGAGAAAGGGTTTCAGGTTTGGCGACTCTTGATTTTCTGTGAATAGTGGGACCTGGTGAAACACCCGAGGAGCCAAACATCAACTAGATTATAACCCCATTGTCAGGGGTGTATTGTAAGATAGTTAGCTGTCAGGAGCACTTGTGTTTTTCTGGATTTTGGAAGTGAAGTATTTCGGCCTGAATAACTTCATGGTGTCACAGGCATAACTCTGATGGCTTCTGTGAAATGAGTTGTTAGATCTTTGCCCCATTTATTGCTGGATTGTGTCATGCAGACAAGAAGTCTTCATCCACTCCCCTTTGTCAGCAGAGGAAACTGGATTCATTGGGCTGAACTGATCTCTTGCTGCTAAGGGGGGGAGTGCCTAAGTTCAAAGAGGAGGCGAAGGGTTTTTTTCAAGATGAAGCATTTGAGACCTGTCAGTTCTGAGGTTGCCCTTGAGGTCAGACTTGCTTCCTGTGCACGCAGAACCCTGCAAGCCCTGCCCCAGGGCGTGGGACTGGATGCAGCCTCCTGCCACACGGTGCCGGCAGCCTGTCCCCAAAAGGAGGGGGAGCAGGGGGGAGGCAGGCGGGGTGCAGGACGCGCCGTGGTTATAGCCACGCTGGGGATGCTGTCAGGGAGATGGCCCCCCTGGTGAGGGGGAATTACCGAGATGAGTTGCACTGCCCTGGCCCATCAAAAGGCCGTGGGAGTGTGATTTTTACTCACGTGGTGACTACTAAAGCTTGACTTTAATTCATGAAGCTTTTCACAAGGAAGGGTGGGGGGGATATAATGCTTTCTGTTGGGTTTGTGGGTTTTCCTTCTCTTGATTTGCGAGGTAATTTTTCTTCTTTCCTTAATTTCTCTCTTTTCATTCCTGCATGCTTACTCTCCGATTAAGTCACACAAGCGCCTCTCCAAAGTAAGCCTTCTTTTTTCTCTCCTGTCCCCCACTGTAGAATTGTCTCATCACTCAGAAACCCTCCCTGTGGTACTGAGTGGTGACCCCAGTAAAAGGCATTCTCCTGGTGCAGCTGCGAGAATGTCAGCGAGAGCTCAGCCCGATGCCTGTAGCCGAGAAGCTGGTTTCACTTAGATCACTGGGATCTCATTAATATTTGCTCACATGGTGTGAGAACTGGCCTGTTCGTCACACTCCTTCAATTACGTCCAACTAATTTTAGCCTTTGTTTTAAGGTTTGCTTTCCCTATCCCAGTGAGCTGCTGTCTTTGCCAGGGAGAAATCTGCTGGCTTTGGTAGGCTGAACAGTACCATAATCCCTTCTCCTTCCTCTCTTCCTGCTTTATGCCTTTCCGAAACAAGAGTTGATCTCCATAACTTCTTGCCTACATTTTATGATGGAATAGTAGTTTCCTGGCCAGTGATCTCAGCTTACTGCCCTTGCACGCTTTGCTGTGTGATGTAAATATTAAAGATCAGTGATTTCAAATGAACCCAGCTTAAACCTGTTAGAACAGACCTGTCCCAAATGAATTGTGAGAATTCATGGGCTCGCTCTGAAAGGTAATAAGTAGAAGATCCTTCTGTGGGTGCTTGGATTGGAGATAAGCTCATTTGAGATTTGATCTCACATCTCTATGCTGCCCTCAGAAGAGTGTAAAAACCAGAAATGCAAATGGGATGCTTATTGGACAAAGTGCCACGCTGTTGGCATTTCCACATGTACACAGAAACCAGAATGGCTTGGATGGCTTCATAATCCACAAAATCAATGCCTTGGCCTTTCCCCAGTTGATGCCTTAGATTTCATTCTAGGCAAGTTCTCAGAGAGCAGTGAAGTCTACAGTTCTGGCTTACTGTTATCCTCGGTCATAATGCCTCTTGTAACCAGCCTGACCTTGCATGATTGCTGGTGTCTGCTGGAAGCTTCTTTACATCTTTTTTAGACAGATTGTCTTGTGCTTGGTGACTGTAGCTTGGATGACTATGAAGGAGGACTGTGGGACTGATGTCTCAGGTGAGGTGTGAAAGAAGTTCTATGGAAAATGCAGGTCTGGAGTAGCAGAGAGCCCTGGAAGGATTGCTGGTGAGTAGAGGTGTGTGGGTCAGGACAGGTGGTGGTAAGCTGAAGGCGCTTTGCCTGAGCTGTGGAGAGGTTTGTTAGGAGAGGAACTGGTGGGAAGAACATCAGTAGAGAGAGATGTATGTGGAAAATGTATGCATAGTGGTACTGTGATGTGCTTGCAGCCAGCCCCTTGCTTTTCTCAGAGGAAAAAAAACCTAACCACTTTAAGATGATTAGAGAAACAAGAGGGACGTGGACCTTGGATGAGTTCCAGAGCGAGGGAGCCGATGTACAGAGGGAAGGGGATCCGGGCATGACCTCCCCCAGCCTGTGCCCGAGCTTCCTGCCCTGCTCACCCCGCTCTGTGCACAGGGGGAACCCGAGGCAGTGCGAAAGCTGCATCTCTTTCCTGTGCTCCACAAGGTGTCTTTCTCTGGTACAAGTGAGGAATCTCAGGCGTAATAAGCCCCCTGATACTCCCCGCACAGATGATGATGATGATGGTATCTGTTCAAGACAGGGAGAGGTTAGGAACAAAGAGCTTAAGGACAAAAATTAAAAAATCTCCTTTCTCAGCCTCTTCTCCTCTCCCCACCCGTCTTCTGCAAGAAGAAGGGTCTGATTTCCCAACCTGTCTCACTCATGAAATGAAACAGCTTGAGCCCATGAGTTTGATGCTGTGTTTATACAATTTCTGACAGATCTGCTTAAAGTCCCTTGCCCTCTTTTGTCTGTTGTGGTAATTGTCGTGCTGCAGTGGTGCCATCAGAGGGAGTGCTTCACCAGGAGTTTTTAAGCACTGGATTACAGCTGCAGGGAATCTTTTCTGGAGTTTGCTTTTCCATGCTGTCCACCAGTGTGCCATGGACCAAACCACCTATAGGCCTGCGTCAGCCGTAGGCTTTCAGTGGCAAACACTGCTGCTTCTGGAACAGCTTTCTGAACGCAGAAAAAAAAACCCTTTTTGCTAGCAACCAACAATGAAATACATATTTTTAACTCATTTGGCCTTGGCCAAGGATAAAAGTGATTTCCTCTCCATTGCAAATCCTTCTGACTCTTCCCACTGTCTGTAGCTAATAATGAATACTGAGGATAAAGATCAGGTGTCAGGTTAAGGGAAAACAAGACTTTTGATGTAGACCCTGGAGACTGTAGAACAGTTTAGGTCAGAAGGGATCTCAGAACGTCTCTGTAGAGTCCAAGCCCCTGCAAGGCTGATGTGGTTAGATCAGGTTGGTCTGAAGTCTTGGCCAGCCACATTTTCCAAGCCTCTAGGACTGAAGATCCCACAAGCCTTGTTGGGCCCCTGCTCCAGTGCTTAACCACTCTTGGTGTGAACAGGCTGTTTTCCTTCTACCCAAATAGAATTTCCCTTACTGCAGCTTATGACTGTTGCACCTTGTCCTTTCAGCGTGCGATTATGAGACGAGTTTGGCTGTATCTTCTCTTTCACCCCTCTCACTGCGTGGTATTAATCTCCCTTTAGGTAGTAGGTCATGAAATTCTGGCCGTTTTGGACCAGGGTGAGGGATATGGGAATAAATTTCATCAGTTTCTTTGAGTTATTTGGCCATGGGCATTTAGATGCCAGGTTAGTAGTGTAGATTTTTGGAAGTACACAGGTCAGGAGAAAGGGCTCCGGAATCTGTTCCGAGTTCTGCCCTCACCCCAGTTCTGTGCCTCTGTTTCCCCAGTTGTAAAATGGACTTAGGGATACTTCTAGAGCTCTATGGCATGTCGTGCACTTGGTGAAAGGTTTCCATTCCCCTGGAAGCAGCAGTATGTAGGGGTGAGTTGCGATCCTGCTCCCAGTACTACTGCAAGGTGGGAACTTCTGTTGGCATCAAGTTATCAGGCTGAACTTCCAGTGGGTGACCCACTGCTTCCCATCTGCACTGAAAAGCTGTAATCTTCCATAGCAGTATATGCAAATATGAGATCATTAACCCATGAAGATTTAGAGGCCACGCTGTGTGAATTAAGGGCTCACAGGAAATTCCCCATTTTTCACCTTCCTCAGGTTCTAAGTTCTTCCTGGTTACAGCCACTATGTAACTACGAACGCTGGTGTCTGCTCCTATAGCATCATCGCTGCAAATCAGTAACATCTTTTCCACTTCTGTGTGCAAAGTCATACCTGTTACTTATTTATTTTTTTCTCTTTTCTGTTCTAATGCTTATGGTTTCTTTTTCCAGTATGACAGACTTAACCTGCTCAAAGTAAGAATATGTTTTTCCTTTTTCTTTCTCTTTCCCCTACATTATACCGTCTCTTGATTTTCACAGTTTGCATCCCCCTATATTCTGACTCTCAGTGAGTGAAAAAAGTTAAATATAATTGAAAATAGATTTAAGGACTCAGGTAGTCTCCTTCTCTTTGGACTTCCCGTTGTCTGTTCTCCCTACAAAACAGGAGTTGGGGAAAGGAATCACCTCATGTTTAGAAAACTTGGTGCAGGCAAAAGGTGAGGCTTGGACGTCAGTATAATTGTGTGAAAGAGTTTAAGAAAGGGGAAGCTGCAGAGCTCCTTCGTCGAGGAGCAGCAGTTTGGGGAAATTGAAGTGTGAGGGGGGGAAAAATAGTTACTGCAATTAATGCAGCAGAGGGGAATGAAATCCTGTTGCAGTGTGCTGACACCACAACATGTGCACCCTGATTTAGAAGACACAGTGACAGCAGTGCCTCTGTTTTGCCTATGCCAATTATAGTTTGATTATGATTTTTTTTTTTTTTTTTTCCCTCAGGAATTTCTGAGTTATGCCTTTTGCTCATTAAGGCAGACAGATGGCAAAACAAATCTGCAGGAAAACTCACTCCATCTTAGAGCCTGTGCTCCTAAGGACAAGGTGGTGTGTGCATGGATTAATTCCCCTGAATTTTTTTAGTATAGGCTGAATTGCGTAAGGCCTTTTTCCATGTCCTACTTGCAGAGAAGGATGACTTCAGCCAGACCCTTTATGAATGGAGGGTATGGCCAAGTATGGAAAAGTGTAGGAAGTAACAGGAAATTTCTCTGGTTAGTTGATGAGCCATACTGTGTATTCAGTCCTTCAGTTCATATCGTTTCCCCAGGATTTGGGGAAAGGCGTTACGTGTGTTCCTCTCTGTAATGTCAAACTTCAGGATTTTGGCCTGTGGCGTGTACTGTGTTACTGTAGGGGGTTTTCACCAGTGCAGCAAAACGCAGAAATGCCCAAGGTTGCAAGGGATCCTTTAGAACTTGTTGGCTCCCTGACTGAGATCCTCATGCCAGGAAGGTTGTCTGCTGGAGTGGCATGTAGGGAGCGTAGGAAGCTGAAAGAAGGGGGTCTAGGAGCAGAATAGTGTAAGCAACCCCGTGTCTTCATAGAAATCTCTGGTCCAATCTGCTCTCCTTAACACTTTGCTCTTACTTTCCGTGGGTAAACGTCCTGTACATCCTTGCTCCTGTTGTGGGCTATCCCGGTGTGGGTAGCTTCTGTGTTTCTGTGAATATGAACTTAACTCTCTGAGTGAAACTTCCACAGGCTGTTACAAGTTGGAGAACAGGATGTTTTCCTTCATATTCCAGACTGGGTGTATAAAACTGTGAAAAATACTCCCAGTCCAAGGTCAGAAACAAGATGATTTCAAAGAAAGAAACGCAGTGAAACATTGCTTCTGTCCTTGTCTATTAGGCTCAGCTCCCCCAAGTGTAACGTTGACGTGCCGTTGCTGGTTGGGAGAGGGGGACGGGCACAGCTCTGTGGCTGCCGACAGTGTGCCTGGCAGTGGGCACCTTAGCCGACCGCCCTCAGCGGTGCAAGGCTACAGTGCCCCCAGGCTTCGTGGTCCTGAGGCAAATCCACCCTAAAATGGGGGATGCCTATACTTTCTGTCAGTTCTGCTCAGTGTCCTGACATTGGAAAGTCAGCCTGACTGGAGTGGGAGTGTGAAGCTTATTCCTTCCTCTCCGCAGTTAAATCTCACCTCCAGCTGAAAATTGCCAAGTGTGACTTTCCAAGCTGAGCTAGCTTGTTCATACGCTCCAATGTGACATGTGGCCTGTGCTCTCAAACCATCTGAAATGCCACGATAAGGACAAAAAAAAAAAAAAAAAAAAAAAAAAAAAAAAAAAAAAAAAAAAATCACATGTGCAGATGATGAAAAACACTGTGCACTGAAATTCTGGAGAAAAATGTTTTTTTTTCTGAGCTTCTCTAGTGATTTTCTGTAGCAGTTTTCCTGACTCTGTTAAGATTCTCCCGTTTAAAATTTAAAAATACTATCAACAGTTTTGCCTGATGGCTTTTGTGACTAAAAGCGTGTCCCTGCCTCCCGATAGTTCTTCGAGGGCTCATTTGCACAGGGTGTGTTCAACACAATGTGATTTTTGCAACCTAGCCAGCAGACGTGGAAGAACGAAGCCTCTGACAGAAATGGCTGGCGATGGTTCTGATCAGCTCCTCTGTTGCTAGTGGGCGCTGCTGTTCTGCAAAAATGATGACAGCACGCGCGCGTGAGTTTGTGTGTGTGTGTGTGTGTGCGTGCATGTGGACGTGCACACATTAGCCTGAATTGTTTCCTATTACGGACTCGTGCTTCTGGATTTGTTCTTTGTTCCTGTAACTGGAAAGAACTGTGTTAGAGCACACTGTGCAATCCACTCCGTTTAATCGCACTTTCACTTCACTAATTATATACAAACCAGATTGGACCTAGTTTCTCTGTCCGTCTTTCTTTTTGATCTTAAGATCTCTGTGCTAACTAATGCTTCTCTTTTATTTTGTCCTTACAGAAAAGCCAGAGTTGGTATAATGTAAGTACTCCAGTTTCTCTTGTCCCTGGGTGACTGTGGGCTGGGCACCTGGGTGGGGGGAAGGTGCAAAGGGGCTTTGCAGTGGCACTGGGGCATACTGACCATTTCCAAAAAGAGGAGATGGAAATGGCTCAGAACTGGCAAAGGAGGTCTGACATCCTGAGGGAAAGGATGCCAGAGGCAGAGAACAGAAGCTTTGTCTTTTCAGTCACTCTTCCGATGATCTCCCCGTCCTGTACCTTCCAGTTTCCCAGCAGAGTCGGTCTTGATGTGGTGACACACAGAGCTGCCACTGTGCAAACCCTTTGCATCTCTCAGGGTGGTATGGGGCGAGAGAGGAATTATTTTCTGTTGACCTCACAGAAACACAAACCATCTTTTGCTTCTGCCTTGATCTTATTTTCATTCCGCAAGCACTAGTGGCAGTAGTTTTGGTCCGACGCTGGTGGTGTGCAGATTTCCACAATCGGTGTTACTTTTGCACGGTTGAACCCTCGCCCCTCGAGCGCTCTGAAGTAGATTGTAGGCAAATGCAGCAGCCATTCCATGTTCAGCAGCAGTTCCTACGGTAGAACCAGTGTGGTCAGACTGGACGGAGGAATGAGAGGCAGGTTTAACTTAGTTGCTGTGTATAATCAGCGCTAGGATGGTAGCAAGGACAGGAAAAGACACGATCCCAGAAGCAGAGAGGAGCGTAGAGGCTGTGGCATTAAGAATGAAGTAGAAACCATGGTAGGCCAAACTGTTGGGAGAAGTGGCAGATAAAGGAACGTGGAGTGAGGCACGTTGGGCACATGCACAGCCAGGCTGCTGCAAAAATGTGAGTCTGCGGCCACGGGTAAAGGCGACTTGCTGTTATGCAAGAGCTGCTTCTGACGGTAGCTGCTGAGATCCATACCCCGCTGCGTGATGATGCTTTGCTGTGGTCTGCTCGTGTGGGTCTCTTGTGTTTTCATGTCCTCTCTATCTTATCTTTCTGTTCTCTTGTTTTTCCTCCATATATTTTCAGCATGAGAGACAGTACATCCGGAGAGTAAGCACTGGCTGCATTTTTTGTGGTTTTCCCCCCACCCGCCCCGTTACTTTCCTTTAGAAAACAAAACCAAACAGTATTCTAGTTAGTAGGGACATTTGGGCCAGATAAAAGCAGCAATGTGGAAATAATGGATGGGCCACAAACTCCAGGAAGGTAGTCAATCCTACTTGGCAGTATTATTGCCACTAAAAATTTGCTAATGCATCTCCTTAATATAGTTTCTCTTCTTTGCCAACTCCTTCCAGGCAGGATTTTTCTGGCATTTGGACCATTTTGATTACTCTGTTCCTTTCCCTGCTGAGAGCAGCTCTAGCAATGAATCTGTGGAGGCCACCCCTTCACGAAGCCTTCTAATTTCCTGTACTCACTTTCCCCCACTTTCATTTTACATAAACTTCACTATGCTCAGAGCAAACACCCTCCACATTGTTCTTTGTGCCAGTTCAGCAGCCCCGGGTGCCAGGCACTCTACAAACAAACCAAAAATACAGTCCTCGCCTCAAAGAGCACACGGTCCGTGAAGATCCCCAGAGCATCGGTGGTCAGAATGCCAGTTTGCTAAGATGACTTCAGTTTTTGCTGCTTTTAACTGGTCTTTTTGTCCTTGTAGCACTGTATCCCTCTTTGCTAGTTGGAAGCCTTCTTTTTTCCTCTCTTGGATTCTTTTTCCTTTACTTTTTCCTTAAGATGCTACCAAGTTCTCTCGCCTTACATGTTCTCCTTTTGATCCTACCAGTGCTTTTTGGGATTGACATCCCTACCAGACTGAGAAGTCAGAGAAAAGGGGTGAACCAAGGTCATGGATTGGTTTGGCAGACCTGTCCTTTCTTGGTCTCGGTGTGCTTTCTCTGTTTCGCTTTCCAGAGGACAAATGCAAACTGGTCCAGGGGCACTGTGAGATTCAGAACGGAACACCAGTTTGAGAATAAATATACTCAACCTTACAGGGCTTGCTTTGTGTTCATGTCCTCCCGGTGGAAGAGCAGACCGTCACTGGGCTGAGTTCTCCAGCAGTGGAAAGAAGAAGTCCTTCTTCTTCACCAAAACAGGAGGTGTTTCTCATGCCTTTAGTGAGGAACCACAGACGTGGTGGGGACTCTAGTTTAGAAGAACTGTTATTCTTATGCAGTAAAACTCAGTTTGCTGGTCAGCTGTGGTTTAGGTCCCACCCATCTGTGCTTAGCCATCAGGATGCAGTTTGTGCACGTCTGCTTTGGACTTGTGTGTCTGCATGTTGAATTATTGTTAATTCATTTATTATTTAAAAAATAATTTAAAAAAAATATTAAAAAAAAACCACCAGACCTCAAAACCAACCTTTTTTCCATAGTTTTTTTTATTGAAACAGAGCTGCAACTTACTCTGTAGACCTGATGTGCATAGAGAGGTGGGAAATTTGTGTTTCACTTCCCTGATGACAGGAAGGAGGAGGTCGCTCTGGCTGTGAGGTGGCAGGAGCTCCACAAGTTGTTAGAAGGAATTTATCACCCAGCAGACCTCATTAAAATTAGAGAGTAACTGGAGATATTTTACTGTCAAAGGCAACAGCTGTCTCCTTTGCTCTCCTCTGTGGACTTGGGGTGAAGGCCTCATTTCCAAGCACGGAGGAGCTCTTGGTTTTTGTGTCTTGAGGTCAGTGTACAGTTGAGGCACTGAGCCTAGCAAGTCTGCCATGTTTTTTTCTGCCTACTTCTCTCTCAGTTGGACTGTCGATCCTTCTACTTCCCTGACTGTTCCTAAATTAGGGTGTATGGCTCCAATTTTCTGCAGCATTTCTAGCTGCCACTCTATAGCAAGTTTGGCTTCTGTAAATTGTCTCCAGTAGTCCCTGTGCTGGTACACACCAGGCATCAGGAGAATCTACAGAGCATACTCCTGGAAAAGAACATGAGATGCTCTTGAAAAGCTAGAGCAAATGCAGTTGGCACCAGGGAAGAGGTGAGATTTATATCTGTCCACGAGGTTTTCATTTTACTCTTTAGATCCCAAGGCCCTACTCTGTACTCCTCTCCTTTGTGTTTATCTATACACATTCCTTTCACCTGCCTTCTCTTTTGCAACCATGCTTGAAATTTTTTTCTTCCTACAGCGCCTCCCTATAGCTGACCTGAACCAGACCATCTCCACCTATGTGCAGGCTAGCCCCAGAGTGGTTAGTGGGGGAAAAAAATTACAATGACAAGACACTAGTTGTCTTTTTCAGGTATTCTTAAGTACTGCTAGAAACATCTGCTGTCCTGAAAAGATCAGCAGGAGCACAGTTCTACTCACTTGTCTTTGGGAGAGCAAAGTTTGCACTGAGGATTGCACGGAGTGGGACAGGAGCCCTGCACCTGCAGTTCTGCAAACAAATGCTGTTCACACAGAGCAGCTTTCAGTTTGGCTTGCAAGATGTGAAAGACTCAAAAAATAAATCTGGTCAAATAGTAGGCAGCCGTGTAAAGGAGAGAGCCCTCGGTTTTCCTTTGGGAAAGCTGTGGCAAAACCCTGTGCGCTAGGAGTTAGGAAAGTGGCTGAGAATCCGTGGTGGGCTGTGATGCTGCAAAGGGCCTTTCGTTGTGGAGACCTCCGAGCAGTGCTTGCAGCTTCTTAAGAACAACCTCAGGCGATCCCAAGACTGAACACCGTAAAAAAATCAGCCTTTGCTGGTCTCAGTGGGCTGTCTTTTTTTTTTTTTTTTTTTTTTTTCTTGGAGACTTTGTAGATATCAGAGTGGAGGGGGAAACCCAGCTGTTGCAAAGAGTAAAATGTTCCCTGTAAAGACAAGAGAGAGAAATTATGCATCACTTTAAGGAAAACATCAGAAGCAGCTTTCCAATGGGTAGCAGCCGGAGTCTGACTCAGCAACAGCAAACATGTAAACAAGGTTTATTGCAAAAATCCAGGCCTGATGATGAGTTAGCAAGGTGTGGAACAAACAGTCTTTTTCTCTGTAAATCAGTGCAATCGTCTTTTAAGTTCCAGTAACCATTTTGTGAAACTTTTCCTGGAGCGATGTTAACTCATTGTCTTTCAGGTATTTTTCCTCCCTTCAGATTTTCCATGGGTTTAGGTGTATGGCTTACCAGGCCTGGCACAGTTACCGTGGTGTGGGGGCACTATTTTGCTGCAAGCTCATGTGATGATGAACTATCAGCCCCCAGATGGCCAGTTACTGCTTTGAAGCTTCTTCCTTTACTGTTCATTCACTTTTAAAAGGAGAAAAGAAAAAAAAAAAAAAGAGGAAAAAAGCCTGAGAGACCAGTCCAGGTTTGGAAGAACTGCTGCGGGACAGGTGGCCAGTTCCTTTGCTGGCATCAATCAGCATAGCAGTCCTGCTGTCAGTGGGGTCTAAACTCTCCCACACGGGCAGGGAATGTTCTTTTCCAATCGTTTCCCTGTTCTGTCCAGAAGCAATGTCAATCTTCCCTGAAGATTTAAGAGCAAGTCCATCAGTCGTGCAAATCGGATGGGATTTTCCTCTCCCTTTGCCTCTCTCCATCTCTCCCCCTCACCTGTTTTCTGTGAGGTGTGCTGTACAAGACCATACCTGTCTCAGTTCTTGTGTTGTCAGACTTCCCTGTCCTGTCCCATCCCCCAACAACAGTCCCTTCAAATTTGCTGTTGGAGGATTTATTTGTGCATTATCAGGGAGATCTTTCCCTGGGGAGTCACCCTTTTCTCCCCATGTCCAGCTCCGAGCCTCTTCTCTCCACCCTGCGCGGTGCCATCCTGTCCCATCGCTCTCTGTTTGCAGTAGAGTTAATGTTTGCTGTCTCCACCTCCTGGTTAGCTCTTCCGATCACTTGTGCCATTCATCTCTGCAAAGAGAGGTGGGTGGGTGTGTAGACAGAAGCATCCTGGTGGGGTTTTTTTTGGAAGTAATCCCATAAGCAGTTTCCAGCAAAGAGAGCCATTCAGTAAAGCCGTGCAGTTACCTCGCAGAGGCCTGTCATCCTGATTCTTTGTCCTTCCCAGGCTACAGAAATTTTCTCATTCCCTCGTCTTGGCAGGTTGGATGTGGAGCTTCCTTCTGGCAGGGCTGAACGGAGCGACCTGTGTGCTGTCTAGCACCAGCAATGCTTCCGAGGTGCATCTGAGCAGACAGAGTGCTCCTCAGCTCTTCCTCTCAGTGAGCAAGCTGCGGTCACTGGCCCTGGAATTGAACCAGTGGCTTTGCAGCACAGGCTTGGTTGGTTGCTGTTTTTTTTTTTTTTTTTCCTGTTTTCATTTTTGAGATCTCTGTGCCCAGTTTAATGGGATGAATTGAGGCTTTTACCTCAGTAAACTTATTTTCATGGGCTCGGCATCATAGCTGAGCAGCACTGGTGTGGTGGGGACGTTTACCTGTGCATTTCTGCACTCGAGTAGAGAGATGGAGAGGCCGGGGCCCCAGAGCGGAGGGATGTGGGGAGTTCCAGTGCTCCAACCAGTCTTGTTGGGCGCCTGCAGGGAGTTTATGTGCCAGAGCCTGAAGGAAGCCCTTGCCCTTCACTTCCAAAGTGACCTGACTAATGAATGAAACCTAGAAAGACCTGTGCTTCTTGGGGGAGCCCAGAGATACGTGTAGGAGTAGCGGAGCCCTTAAGGTTACGGACTGTGTGGGTCTCATCTCTTACGGTCTGTGATTTCTCATAGCTATATGATTCGAACTGGTCTCTCCTTACTCCCCTTGCGCCTCCCCCAGCACACTCTGTCCAGCAACTTTCCATTACAGGAAACATCTGCGGGGAGGCAGGGCTGAGCCTGGGTTACTGCAGGGCATTGGCCGACAGAATTACCCAGCTACAGTAACTTAAAGCATGTGCGAGTCATTTTGGTATCTTCCCCACCCGCTCCTTCCATGAGAAACGTTAACAAAGGCTGAAGCTGCCTTTCAGAGCAGAGAGGGACTAGAGAGGAGAGCCTGAGGCAGGCACTGAAGGAATAAGAATAACTGTTTTTCTGGCTTCAAAGGGGGAAAAAAAACCCAAGCAGCTGAAGTCTCTGAGCCGTTTATGGTTCTGTTCATTCCTGGAAACCGCGGCTAGATCTGTGACTTACGGCTGGTCCAGTGGGGTCCTGGCGGTCGGAGCTGCCCCAGTTGGGAGCTCTGGCAGTCCTGGGTGTCGGGCCCCAGCGGGGAGTTGCAGATGCCTTGCACAGACCTGCCTGGGACTGCTCAGGCTGTCGGCACTTTTGCGGTGCTTTAAGGGATGCCCACAGCAAGAAGCTGGTGAGACTGGAGCAGAAAAGCACAAAGGTTGCCCGCCTGCACGCTTACCCTAATGAGCCACTTTGTCAAAGTCCTCCGGAGGGCAAATCCTCTCTCAGATCCACAGAGGCTGCTAGGGCAGATGACCTGAATGTGAGCAGGAAAGTAGGGGAAGGCATGTAAACTCCTGCCAAGCTGCTTGTATCTCTTTCGACTTTGAATCTAAACAAGAAGCGGTGACAGCAGGAACAGGAAAAGCAGAGTTTGTCTGCGAACGCGGGGAGCTGCGCGGAGGGAACGCTATGGATTCCGTGCTGGAGTGTGGGGCTCTCTGGGCTCCTGTGCTGGATCAAGAACTGCCACGCCTGCTGTGGGACCTGGAGAGGCTTGACTCACCGCAAGAAAACATCAGCCACGGATCAGATGAAATTCCAGCTGTGAGTGTCTCTAAACAGAACTGTTTGTCGCTCTAACAGAAGTTCTGGTGCTAAGCAGAAACGTCTGTTGTAGTACAGGTTTGAGACAGGTCAGAACATCCCTTACTGCGGGGAAGGAAGGGACGTACCCTTCCACATGGAAACTCTTCTGCTGAGTTGGGTTGCTGTGATGCATTGAACCCAAAGCACAGAGCTGATTATCATCTCTGTTCCCCCTCCTTTCCCATCATGTCTCCTTGTCCCAGGAAATCCTGGGCTTGGGCTCTTGCTGGAGCCCATCTCTGACCAAGATCTTTTCCAGATGTTCAGGCTAGAAGTTTGGTAAGTAAAATTCATATTTCTGTCATGTGCTGGTGAGCAGATTTTATTCAGAAGAAAGATATTTTCCTTCGGGCCTGCAGGACTGGATCAAATATCTGAAGTGCTGAGTTGATGATAAATGTTATTTTCAGTTCATTGAATTGGTGCGAGGAAGAGGGAATGCTGGGGGGGTGGTGGTGGTGAAGGGGGTTGTCTGTGTTTCCTTCTTCAATTTGACAGCATTTGATGGTTTTATAAGGCGAATGCTAAATAAACTTCATCTTCCTCCCACCCCTGTGACCCCACCAACACCACTCTCAGAGAAGCTACCTTCTAGAATCTCTTTGATTTTGGGGCCCTTTCTGGGAGGCTCTGAGGTGTGCCCACCTTTCTGCTTTTGGAGAGCTGTCTTGCACAGCTGAAAGTGAGGAGAGGGTTGTTGAGAGGAAATGGGGATAGGAAGGGAAGAGGTTGTACCTCAGGTTGCTTTGCCTTCCCTGCATTTGCGGGAGAAAGAACATGATAGATCAGATGGGAGATACGGGGCTCCTGAATTTGCACCTGCCTCTGTTTTGGTTAACTGCCTTCAGAAGATGTTCTGGCTCTTGGCAGCGGTGGTCAGCAGGGGCATGGTGTGCAGGAGGTGGTCTGACATGGACAGGATCGCATGATAGCTCAGTGAATGTCGGAGAGAAGCCAGCTCCTGGTTTCCCTCCAGCCAACAGCTCCGTTTTCTCTGAGGCCTTCGTGAGGCCAGGTGTCCGCAGATTAGCACAAACCATGGGTGAGTCCCTGCGAGAGCCTCCTCGGGGGCCCGCAGCGGTGGTTCTCACCAGCGGGTAGCTGCCAGGTGGAACACTTGATGGGGAGAGGAACGGGGATGACTGCATTATTTCTGAGCATTATTGAGGACAGTGATGGTTCCTCTGGCAGGGCTGCAGCTGGACTGTTCTCCAGGGTTGCTCTGTGCTTCCTGGAGGCGCCGGGGATTGGCGGCTGACTGATGCATTGCACACAGAGCATGTGTCACACCATGTACAGTCTAGGGTTGCGGGAAAAGAGATTCCTCCTGCAGCCACAGCTTCCATGCGATTCTGTTTTGCTGCCTAGCAGACGTGGGTATAGCCTTTCTACTCTGTACTTGCTCTTCCAAGTCAGGTTCTCCTCTTCTTCTCACTTAATGCACTAAATCCCAAACCCTCCCGTCTGTGTGTCTGCTGTGATGGGAGCTCCTAGCCTCATGCTTTGTAAGTGCATCTGATCCCGCTTCTCCTTACCAAGGTGTTCCTGTTTTCCCACTCCGTTTCTCTGTACTCATGCCTGCCCCTCTCTTTAACAGGCGCTCTGTTATTTGCAGGTGTTGAGTCCAACATACAAACAACGGAATGAAGATTTCAGGAAACTCTTCAAACAGCTTCCTGACACGGAGCGCCTCATCGTAGGTAAGGCCAGCCCCTTGTCGCCCTGCTCTGGCCCACGGTCTGGGGAGGAAATCAGCACACGTGCATGCAGCTTTTTCTTCTTCAGATTGATTTCCACCAAGGAAAGAGCCCGTTGTGCCTTTCTTGTGCACAGACGGAACTCCTCCTCACCACTTTTTATGGGTTTCATTCATTTTGCTTCAGGGAGAGCAACGCTGATTTGTATCGGCTACAGCTCTGTTCTCTCATGGTTCGAGGGGTGTGTTTTCCTCCACAGTGCTCCCCCAAACCTGACAGTGTGTTAGTGTTTGAGCTCTTTCCTCGTTTGGTCAGGGTTGCGTGTCTCAACATGCATGCCGCTGAGCTTCCCTTTTTTCTACCATGCCCAGTGCTCCCTGCTCACACATGACTGCCCTTCCCGGGTCCATCTAGACTTTGGCCTTGCAGCTGATCAGTGATTGCCTAGTGCGTTGCATCTGTTCTTTTATGTAACTGGTGATCTCATACTGTTGAAAGATGCGCATCCTAGCAGAGGAGTAGAAATTGTTTAGGGTGATTAAAAGGGGGAGGGAAATGAACAACAGTTCTAGGAGTCAAAAAAGGAAAAGACGGATAAAAATCTGGAAATAGTACATAGGGTGCTACAGAATGACCAGCTAATAAGGCATGATCATTAGTTAGTGAGAGAGGTGGTGACGTGCCCTTGGGAGGAATCGTAACTGAGTGGGCAGAGCGGCGGCTGCGTCTCAGTTCCTTCTGGCTCTGCCTTGGACTTTCTGCAGGATTGTGTCAAGTTTCTGCTTCTCTTGATGCTGCTGCCTATCCTCACCTTGAGGCTGTCCTGTCTTCTGGTTTTGCTGCTCCTAAATTCCCATCTGTTGTCCACCCACAGATTACTCATGTGCGCTACAAAGAGACATTCTCCTGCAGGGCCGCCTCTACCTCTCTGAAAACTGGATCTGCTTTTACAGCAACATCTTCCGCTGGGAGACACTGGTAAGGCTGTCGGGCTGGTGCATTGAGCATGTGCTTTGTGTCAGCGTATTTGCTGACGTTGCTTTAAAAGCTTTCTTTCCGTTGTCTTTCTTACCTGTTTACCTGTGTTCTTTTTCTGCCTTCCCCTTTCTGCATGGCTCTGACTGTAGCTGACAGTTCGCTTGAAGGATATCTGCTCGATGACCAAGGAAAAAACAGCACGGCTCATTCCTAATGCCATCCAAGTTTGCACTGACACTGAAAAGGTACCTCCTTGAAGCCTTCACCTCTGGGCCACCCCTTACGGCTGTTGGGGCCGGGAAATAGAAGGGTGTTGCGGGATTTTTCCAAACTGACTGCTTTTGCTACCCGGGGCTTGGGAGGAAGCACCAGAGCTTCTGCAGACTTTGGGCTGAGCCTGGGGCACAGGTAGCTTGTGTGTGGTGCGTGGGGCCAGGTAGAAGATCCGGGTTATGTAGTAGCACATCTCTAACAGAACTGTTTCTGTGCTCAGACTCGCTCCCTGGGTGAGAGGCGCTCGGCAGGTCCGTGCGCTTCGGTCTGTGCCCAAGAACTGAGCAGCTGTGCTGTATGGCTTGCTCAGTCCTTCTGGGAACTGTAGCTGGAAAGCAATCCAAACAGGTTTGTCTCTTCTTCCCTTTTTTGGAACCAAACTGATTTTTCTCTCCATCTCTTCCCATCCAGCACTTTTTTACTTCCTTTGGGGCTCGAGACAGGACGTACATGATGATGTTCAGACTCTGGCAGAATGCTCTCCTTGACAAGGTACAGAGACCACCACCTCAGTGTTGGGGTGGGGTGAAAGGGAGGCGATGAATATATGCAGAAATGTAATACCTGTGACTAAGGTATATGCATAAAAAGATTTAGGGACAGTGAATGTGTCTAGGCACAGCAGGTACATAACTGCAGGTGCAATTCCCTCTTTTCACATGGAATTCTATGTACAGCCGTGTCTTGCACAGCCAATAGACGCCCCTTTGCCTCTGCTGAGGTGTGGAAGGATGCATCTCAGGAAGGAGTGTTTTTGAGGTCTGTAATTCAAGTGAAACAGCCCAGAAACAAGCAGTTCAAAGTGCAAGAGAAATAGCTCACTGCCCAGGCAAAGCTCTTAGTAACTCTGTGCTTCAGAAGCGCCGAGTTCAAGATAGGACAGAGAAGGAGCGTGTGTTCAGGGCGTCCCCAAACCACACGAGAACAGTGGTGGGTGTGGGGTGCACTGGGTAAGGGCCCAGTGTGTTGGATTTTAAAATAAAGCAGGGATGTGCACCTGCTATGCCAGAGGCCTCATATAGCCTCTATCTGATCCTGTATCTGTGCCACAGTCCATTGAGTATTTCTGGCCTCACTGAGGGAGTAGGAGTCGTGAACTGATGTTACGGTGCTACCAGCATTTTGAGATGCTCTGGCTTGAGTTCATACCATAGTGGAAGGCTTAAGTAATCAAGCACCCAGAATACCCTGTCCTGAAAATCGGGGTAGTATTTAGTATGCAAAAGGATCGCTTTGCATTGGGCAACTTGTGTTGCCACCATATGCCGTAATTTGATCAGCCTTTTGAAGTTCCTAGCAAAATTCAGTGCCCTTGGTTTCAAGGTCAAAACAAATGGGAACTGAGACATGGAGTGATAAAGGCAGGGAAACGCTTCCAGAGCTCTTTTCCCAAATGTAGGATCCATGCCTGGCAGGAGAGAGGGAGAAAGAACCTAGTCCACTTTTCCTGATAAGATGTGAATTACAGTGCATGCATAAAGAAGGGGAAGCAGAGTTTTTTTCTGGATGACAGTTTCTATTGAGGTTTTTCCCATGCTTTTGATGGCTACTTTTGGGAGCTAGATTAAAAATCTCTTGCAATAACTATGGGAAGAAATTCAAGCCAGCAACTTGGAAAAAGTTCACTAGATTTGCTTTCCCTCATTACCAAGAAATCTTTGTCACTGGTCATAAATTTCTCTTGGGTAAAAGTCCATCCGCTTTCATCCTTGTACCACATATTTAAATCTCATGTTCTCCTGCCTCGTTTCTTAAGAACATCAGAATGCAGTCGTGTGGTGATCAACTGACCTGCATCCCTGAAAAGCTGGGCTTTTGTGAATGGTCTTGATAATTAATTTTTTCTTTTTAACTGGAATAATATACAAGCTTTCCACAAGAGTATCTGCTTAGAGGAACTCTTTTTGATTTTAAACTGCAACAGGAAATGTTTTTCTTTGTTGCTGTTTCAGATCGGTTTTCCTGCAGCTGTAAATCTTCAGGCAGCTTCAATTTAAACAAACTCGCAGGGGAAAAACCTTATGAGGTGGTGGGGTTTGGTCGTAGGAGACATTAAATGGAGGCACAGCAGGAGAGGTGGGGAGGACACGTGGAGGGAAATGCAGGTTTACTGCTTACGTTATTCACATGCACAGCGCTGTAGCAGCAGGAAATCTCATTTCATGTGCTGCTCTGGCTGTAGCCTCGCATTGGCTTCCAGAGAGTCTTAAGTAACACGAGATCGTGGCATGGCAAATTAACAAAGTCCGATTTTAGGGCAGAACCTGGGCTGATGGTGAAGGCTTACTTGGCGAAAGGACCTCTTACTCCTTGATGGGGGTAATCTCTAAGCCAGCTTGGCCTAATGGTGTAGGGATACGTACACCCACGGAGCTGGGCCAGCCTGCCAGTAACACACAATCCACCTTGTAGCATCACTGGATTGAGAAGAGGTGAGCCTGTCAGAAGGCTCTCACTCCTGCCTGGGGCTGTGTCAGAATCTCTCGCTTCTGCATTCAGGGCAAGGAATGTAATACTCCTGGCAAGGGTAGTTTCAAAAATTCATTATATTTTAGTCCTCTCAGGTGAAAATGTACGCTGTTCTCTGTTCCCTCTTTTAGCCTCTCTGTCCCAAGGAGCTCTGGCACTTTGTCCACCAATGTTACGGGAACGAGCTGGGTCTGACCAGTGATGATGAAGACTATGTGCCTCCTGATGACGACTTCAACACAATGGGGTGAGTGAGGAGGAGTAAAATCTGCCTGTGATGAAGAAAAGATGGCCACAGGAGAGCAGGAGTCCTGATATATTGCATACCTCAAACTGCTGACTGTCCCTGGCGAGAGATTCTGGGTTCTGGTCAAATATTTGCCCTTAAATATGTAATGTCTAAAAAGTGGGAAGTGTACCATTTCCTCGTGGAAGTCGTTAGGGACTGAAATGTCACCTCTCTGCTTGCTGAGCTAGAGGAGCAATTCTAAATGCCAGTGTCCCAGTCACAAGGCCAGTCAGCACGTTACGTGGTCAGAAAGTGCTGATGCTTGTCAGTCTATATAAGCACTTGAAAAGTTTGGGCTTGATCTTCCTTGTACTGAGCCGTTTCTGCTTCCAGTCAGACTGGAAACTTCATAGAAGTATTCTTACTTGCTCTGTGTGTCCAGCTGTAGCTGTACTGAGAGGGGTAAACATAAAAACCTGTGTTCTCTGTGGCGTCTCAGCTACTGTGAAGAAATCCCTGTGGAAGAGAATGAAGTCAACGATAGCTCCTCAAAAAGCAGCATGGAGGCCAAGCCAGAAGCTAGCCCTCAGCTGCCAAAGAAATCCGTCACTGCCAGCACACTGACATCCACGGGAAGCAGTGAAGCGCCAGCCTCGGTGAGTGTCCTTCCTCCGCTGCAGCAATCCTTTGCTCTGGGTTCCAGCTGGTTGTCCCTGAATGTACAAGGTAACCCTTGAGCCCGCAGCTCCTTTTCCACTGCAGCTCACCTCAGTCCTCGGGTCTGTGAGCATGGGGTCTGGTCAAGAGAAAGGGAGCAAAGCCTGCCTCTCCTAAAAGCCAGTAAACAGGGACTTCTAGCAGCATTTTCCTTTCTATGCTTTTAGATGAAAAGAAGCGGAATGTTGGAGATCAAAGGGTTATAATTTCTCCTCAGCCTTCAGTTATTCTCTCGGAAACAGTGTGTGCCCTCGTAGGATACGGCAGAGCAGACCTTGTTTAATATAACCTCAGTTTTTCCAAGCTGTATAGGGTTTGTTCAGGAGCAAAACCAGTACTGTTTGTGTGCTTGTCTGAACAAACAAAAAGCCTTATTTATGTCCCAAGCTTGAACTGTATGAGGTTCTTGGGGAGGAGGTGAGCTAGCATGTCCATGTGTGTTACAAACACTCTATGATAACCTTCCTCCTCTCTCTGTTATTTCATTTCCAGACATGTTGAGGCCAAATGTTCAACGCTCTGAAAAATTGGCCCACAGATGTAAAATTTTCAGAAATAAACTCCAACTTCCAGGTGCTGATCTTGCCCTTGTTGTGGTCTCTCTTTGCTGCAGTTTGATGGGGTGTTACCAGAAGAGGAAGAGGCAGTGGCGGAGAGTCCTGTGGAAAAAGACATTGGCATTGCAAATATCATGGGAGAGAAGATAGAGATCATCAGCCCCGTGAACTCCCCTTCCCTAGACTTCAATGACAACGAAGACATTCCCACTGAGCTCAGTGACTCATCAGAGACTCATGATGAAGGTATGTGAGGCAGGGCTGTTCCATCGGTGGTGTTTTTAGCCTTCTCCCGTTCTTCCTAGTGAGGGACTGAAGCAGGAAAGGCTGAATCCCTTTTCCGGATCCTAAGAGTTCAGAAGATGCAAAGAATTCCCATCCTGGGCTGCAGAAGGCAAATGTGTGGAGTGTTTAGAAGGATGTCCCTAAAATAACCTATGTAGTTAATAAACCCTTCTGACGTTCCAACTGTTGTCTTGGGATCAGTGGAGAGAGAGGCTTAGCAGTGCCCCCTTTGGGTTCCTTCTTCACAAAGTAAAATACTAAGGGCCTGGTGCCGTGAAAGCCCAACCTGTGATACTGGCATGGAGGCTCCTGGCTGAGGCTCCTGGGCCTGTTTCCTCACAGGGGAAGTCCAAGCCTTTTACGAGGATCTGAACGGCCGTCAGTATGTGAACGAAGTGTTCAACTTCAGCGTGGACAAACTCTACGACTTGCTTTTCACGGACTCCCAGTTCCAGAGGGACTTCATGGAACAGCGCCGGTTCTCTGGTGAGCTGCTGGTGGCACAGCACGGTCGCTGTCGGAGGCTGTGCTCCCTGTACAGGAGAAAAGTCTCAGCCTGTGCCTTGGAGGTGTCCCTTTGCCTGGTGATAGGAGGGATCGGGTCATATTCTGAGCAGATCAGCTGTAGTCTCTACTGACAGTAATCAAAAGCAGTTAGACCCAGCCTTTTTGGCTATCTAGTTTTATTTTCAAAGAGCCAGATCTGAGTTTATGGAAGAAGCAGAATCTCTTATTTTTTAACATGGACTAAGGCCTGATCCTGTCTTCAAGGCTTAATGGTGGGAGGAAAAAGCTCTTCCAGCTCCACAGCAGACACTGGCACGGACTGTGCAGTTGATGATGCAGAGGGTCCCTTGGCACGGGGTAGTCCTCCTTCCCCTGTAACGGTGGGTTTGCTGAAGGAGGTGAGTCTCCAGCCTCTCCCCCTTTCCCTGCGCTTGAAAGAGGGGAAAAATATTCACATCTAGTATAGGAGACCTTTCTTTCACAGTTGAGCTCTAGCTGCCAAGCTCTCCAAGGGGAAGGAAATATTGTCCTGAGCTTGGTGGTATGGTTATGCCTTTTCCTAGGGAACTGACCCGAGATCCCTCTCCAGTTACTTGAATGGAATATTGCTTTGTCCTCTCAGATATTATCTTTCATCCCTGGAAGAAGGAAGAAAATGGCAATCAGACCAGGGTGATCTTGTACACCATTACCCTCACCAACCCTCTGGCCCCTAAAACTGCCACTGTCACTGAGACGCAGGTATGTGAAAGGGGAGCGGGGTGCAGTGCTCTCTAGAAACAGAACTCTGATTTATTATCTTGTCTTGGGCATGCTGCTTCGCATGTTCTCATTCTCCCTATCCATTTTCCTTTACACATTTTTCTTGTATTAACTTGCTACCCAGTGTTGCTGCAAATGTGAATAGCTAATCTTACACTCGCACTGGATTGCGTTGCAAAGAAAAGACCGTGAATTTTCCCAGCAAAAGCAGATGACTTTGTAAACACGCCAGCACATTTTAACAACTGTGTGACCCAGACTGGTGTTTCTTTAGCTGCAGTCAGTCCAGCAGATGTTATTCATGAAGAGGGCACAAGAAAGTCAGATACTGTCTGGCTGATCCTTCTCACAGCTTTATGTAGAGATGTTCAGGCTTTTTTATTACAGGTGAGAACAATTAGATGTTTTGCCTGTTTAAAAAGGTGAAAAAGGGGAGCATCTGCAATGCACTGGGAAGAGCCAGGTTAGCTGTATCTAGCTAGTGAGGGAGGAAAAGCCTCCTTCTGTCTCCAGAGATATGTTTGAGTGGCCAAAGGTATGTGCTGGGAGTTAGCTTGAGGGCATACACAGAGGGAGCCAAGGAAAGGTGGGGTGTCTGAGCATTACATTTAGGGGAGAGGAGAATCCCAGTGGCACGGTGTACCTTGTAGGGATGGGATGAAGTGTGCTGTTCAGAAGCAAAGACTGTGCAGGGAAAATAAGAGAAAGAGAACAGAAGAGCAAGGTGATGGGCAAAGGGAGCAGTACTCTTCCAGGCAAGCCAGGACGTGGCCTATTTTGTTCTGGGTTTGGGGTCAAGCACCGAGGCACACTTTGCTCTATGTGTCCTCACTGCAGAGGTAAGTGGAAATAGTCTGTAAGAAAAGCCATCTTTTTGCATACAGAGCTGCAGTTAACTGTGTCTGGCTTCTTTGTGAGGTTTGTTCCGGGGCAGAGAAAGCAGCAGATCAGAAGCGTTTCAAAGAAGTAATTGATGTGTTTTTTATGGCATTTAGAATTGCAGAATAATTTATGCTGGAAAGGACCTCTGCTCAAAGCAGGGCCACCTCCGAGTTTAGATTAGGTTGTTCCCTGACAAGCCAGACATCAGTTTAATGGGAAGAGCTAACACTGGCAAAGGTCCTGGAGAACAGGTCCCCACACTGCAGCGTAGTAGGTAACCATGTCTGGCACAGGACGCTGAAGGTTGAACTGCCGCGACTGAATGGCCCTTTTGAAATACGTCCTTGAGAAGCATCTGAGTGAAACACCTGGTTTCCTCGAGGGTGCCTTCCCTTAAAAATGAGCTGTTCACAGGAAAATTGCAGAGATGGGGCTTGGGCATGGGTGTGGGCTCCTGTTTGTGGTAGAGCTGGTTTTGTAGTGTGCTGGCGAGGGTGCCAATCTATCAAAGCCGTGTTCTAACCAGACTAATAATTGCCTTGCATGCTGTCTTTTATGCAGACAATGTACAAAGCCAGCCAAGAAAGCGAGTGCTATGTCATAGATGCAGAGGTGCTAACTCACGACGTCCCCTACCATGATTATTTCTACACCATTAACCGCTACACGTTGACTCGTGTTGCCAGAAACAAAAGCCGACTCAGGTACACTTCTTGGGGGATAAAGAGCTTTACTGATGACCAAAAGTCACTTTGGGTGGGAGCTCTGCTGTTTGGTGTGGTAGAAGGGGTGGAGGAGAGCTTAGCCTTATGTCTGTCCTGTTGCCAGAACACTGTGTCACAGTTAGTGTAGGGGCAGCTGCCTACTGTAGTGACATTGGGCAAATGATAGCCCTGATGCAGAAGAGTTACAGCTGCGTCAGGGAGAGGATTCACAGACTTTTCTTGCCCTCTTGGAAGCAGTGGTGTGCAGGCCCAGTTGTCACATGCAATAAACAACATGTGATAAGCAGCAGGATGCGCTTCCAGGGACCGTGTCTCTGAGATGTGCTTGGGGGAAAGAGCAGAGGAATTTGGTAGCAAGCAGAGCTATAGGCTTTAGTGTGTGACTTCGATAAGTAATCTGAATGTCTTCCTGCCACGTGGCTGAATGTCTCGGGAGGCCTCTTGGGGGAGGCTCTCTTGAAACCTTCCTGCCACTGCTTTTGGAAGGATGTTTCACGCAGTGCTTCTCTTTGAGAAACACAAAAGGCTGAGACCATTCCAGAAACAACAGGGTGTGTGATTATTTCTCACATTTACCTTGACAAAGGATTGTGAATTGACATCACCTCCAGGAAACAAAAGCGGGAGAATGACTTTTCTTTCTTCACACAGGGTTTCCACAGAGTTACGTTACAGGAAACAGCCTTGGGGGCTGGTGAAATCCTTCATTGAGAAGAATTTTTGGAGCGGCCTAGAAGATTATTTCCGTCATTTGGGTAAGAGTGGCAGTGGCTGGAGCTGCAGTAATGACCCACAAATGGTGGAGCTCCCTCCCTGCGAGTGGGCAGCATGGCCCTGTGGTGCCTGCTGGCAGCCGACTGGGGATCAGACCTTGGTGTGCCTTAGGAGAGGGACCAGCCACAGTCATGACCACGGTGTTGGTAGCACTTGCTGGAATTAATCGGGTCCCCAAATCCTGCTCTCTGGCAGGAGCGCAGGGGCAGTCTGGGGTCAGGGTTTGGCAAAAAGCACAAGGGCTGTGTAGTGTGACCTCTGGCATTGGGCCTCTTACACCCTGCTGACTCCTTTGGCCCAACAGCTGTGCCATTAGAGAGCTGAACTCTGCATCTCCGCCAGGCCAGTGCCACTTCTGTGAAATGCTTTCCCTCGTGTCTCTGCAGAGAGTGAACTGACCAAAACGGAGAGCACGTACCTGGCTGAGGTCCACAGACAATCCCCCAAAGAGAAAGTGAGCAAGCAATCGACCGTGCGCCGGAGGAAACGGGCCCATGCCCACCTGCGGGTGCCACACTTGGAGGAGGTGCTGAGTCCCGTCACCACCCCCACGGATGAGGAGGTTGCACATCGAATCAAGCACGTGGCAGGTGGGGAACTGCAGACGCCTCACATTGGGGATGGAGAGCTGGCTACTTCTGGGGAAAAAACTGGAGCTTTGCTTATGGAAGGTTAATGGGAAGAGGGGCCAGGACTTTCTGGGGCTGGGAGGATGTGTTATGATTGCTTGAGGGAGATGGAGGGCTGGGTAGAGGGAAAAGGGTTGCCCTCTACATCGGCCAGCATTTCTTGGCCTAAATGCATCCGTCTCCTCAGGTTCCACTCAGACACGGCACAGCCCCGAGGAAAGCCCCAGCGGCTTCCACCTGCAGAGTGTCTCCAAGATGTTCCTTGTCATAGGTTTTGTGTAAGTGAAATTTTTTTTTTTTTCTTTCCTTCACAGTCAGCCTTTAACAACTTTGGTCCTTTCATGTTTCTGGTGTTCTGTGCTCCCCTGTGCTAGTTTTTCCTCTGTTACATTCCTCTCTGGTCCCAAACACAGCACAGAGGAGAGAAAAGCGATGACAAGCACAAAGGAATTAATTGAAATTTCCCCAAAATGCCCCATCAGCTGTTTTGTCTGGCTTTATCCCAGCTTTTGCCAGCACTTCGCTGGTCACTGATCTGGTGGTGCTGTAGGTTCTGGATCTTATTTTATCAAAATCTCTCCTTTCCCCTCAGTTTTCACCTTGTTTTAACCAAACACTGGCTTCACAGACCTGCATCTTTCTGGGAGTCCTAAGTGCAGGTCAGCTGTGCTGTCTGGGACACAGGTGGCATTGACAGTGGCAAGCAGGGAAAGGGGAGTCAGGACTTAGAAGGAAATACAAGAAGTAGAAAGAGTCTTTTTTATGTCAGGGACTCAGTTTAGAGGATTTCAATGACATCTAGAACCTGTGGGGTGTGTTTAAAATTTAAAAAAAATCATTTAATGTCATCTGCCAACAAACTAGTGGTTGTCTTGACCATGCAGAGCGCTCTGGGTGTTACTGTGCTGTCCCCGCAGGGCTCAGTGTGTGTGAGGACTCTGTTGCTTCTTTACTCTGGTTTGGCAAAACTTGTTTGGGTCTGGTCCTGGGTGGTGATTTTGATGAGAGATACCACCTCAGAAAGAAGGTAGAGATGATTTCTGCCAAAAAAAGGGTAGAAACACATGAAGCACCCACTGTTAATCCTGGAAGAGCAGAACTTGGGCTCATTTTTTTTTCTTAAGCTCCACGCACCTTTTAGTGAGGTGGGAAGAAGCTGAGATGTGTTCACTCAGGTTACTTTTCAAATGGAGCTCCTTTCTGCATTTCCTTTTCCCAGTGGGGATAAAGACTGGAGAATTTTGCAGCAGCAACCCAGGCAGTTGCTGTAATGGTAAGTAAGGTAATTTAATGAGAAGATACCCTCGTGCTCTCTTCTGCATCTAGATGGGTGAGATGCAATTAAAACTTTGGGTTGGAAGGCACAAAAGCTTTACAGTAATCTCTCCTGACAGGCTACTAGCTTAGCTTAGAGTGGTCAGAGCCCTCCATAATGTTTTCAGAATACTCTTCTGGCCAGTTGCCATCCTCCTGACTGAACTGGGTGATAGTGGGCCATTCTTCCAGCAAAAGAGCTGCACTGTTCAGAGACAGGCACGAGCATGTTATTTTGGAATCTTTTCCCTGAGCCTGGCTGATGGGAGGAGTGGAGATGCCCAGGCATGGCAGTGGGGGGGGCAAGAGGAGCGGTACAGGGACTGGTGAAAGCGCAGGCCCGTGGCAACGCTCCCATCCAGGTGAGGCTGGACATGAGCAGGCTGCAACGTGCATTTCTGTGTCATGGTGCCCTGCCTGGGCCCGCTTTGGGCTTGTCCCTGAGAGCTGCACACAGCTCCTTTTGCTGAGCGATTTCACCACTATTGCAGGCACATGGTTATTTGTCTGTCCTTCTTGCCTCTCTCGCCGCTGTTTCTTTCTTCCTTCTTCCCCACACACATATCTGCACCGTCTATGAGCCTTCTCTGCTCAGCCCAGTTTCTCCTGTTCTGTGTCAGTCTGTTTCTAACCTGCAGCTACTCCGTCTTTTCTCTTCCCTGCTCCCATTAGGATCTGTTTCAGGTACTGTCTGTCTCTTATTTTTTACCTCTTTCACTCCCGTTTCCCTCCCTTTCTCCATATTCAGCAGATCCACTCATCCAACCTGTTCTGTCTGATCCATCATCGCTGTCTTTCTCTCTGCCTTGCTCATACATTTCTCCCATGAGGTGAAGTTTTGGGTTCTGATCACCTGGCCCTTACTCAGATTAAATTCCCACTCCCATACAGCGTGGACCTGAGCCCCAGACACCTTCGTTAAAGGCTTGGGCCTTTTCCCAGCTGTGATTGACAAGCAGTGGGCTATGCAGTTCTCCTGCTGAACTGTTTTCTTTATTTCCAGTCTGGTGATGCTGGTCATTCTCAATATGATGCTGTTCTACAAAGTCTGGATGTTGGAATATACTACGCAGACGCTCACGGCATGGCAGGGCTTGCGGCTACAGGAAAGGTACTGTCACACCTGCTTTGTCTTTGGCCTCTTCTTGCATGTTCCCTATGGATGTCAGAGGCTTTCCCAGGGTGCCAAAGCTCAAGGCTCTCCTGTAGATTGCTGCTTTTTTGTGTAAAACAGATGAAGGAGGTAGGTAGCTGAAGCTGTGGGGGCATCAGCATTTCCAGATCTGACACTGCTGAGCAGTTGCAGCAGAAGACAGTGAGTTAAGGCAACCTCTGCTTCTTCCCAGCATCCCCTGTAATGAGGGATGCTCTACAAGTACATGTTCTGCAGTCTTGGGCCAAGGTTGTCACCTCCCCTCCTTTGATGGCTAAGCTTCCCTCTGTATGAAAGGCAGTGCCTGAGAAAGAACCCTTTGTACGCAGAGGAGAGATTGGGCCTGTGACACACAATCAGCTGTTGGAGAAGTGTTTTGAAAGGTGTGAGACCAGATATCAGCACGTTGTTGGAGCGTGGGAGGCAGAGAGACATCACTAGGAGCACACAGGATGCTTCTTAATGACCTCAGAGTTCCTGGCACTGAAGGGTCATTGCAGACTGACTTAGTTTCCTTAATAATTGGTAGTGTGAAACCTTGTCCAAGGCTTCTCAGGCATCCTATTTCAGTGCAGTGTGTGCTTTAGACTGTGTGGCTGCACTTCCCCCTTTCCTTTTGCATGCTGACAGCCCCCTGGCCACGCTGAATTTATTGCTGGGATCAGTCTTTAGTATGTAGGTCCCCCAGTCTTGTCTAGGGTCAAAGGCAGACCTGCCAGTCTGCATTTCCCAGCATAAGCCCAGGATAAGTCTCAGTCAAGGAGCAGAGTCAAGGCAGTTGGTGGAGCAGTAGCAGCTCTGCCTGTCTCTAAGGTAAGAGCGGCACAAGTTAGACTGTTAGGAGAAGGGAGGAACTTATCCAGGGAGCGAGTTCTAGCTGCAGAGGAGCTCTCACTAACCCAGGGGCTTCCATAAAGGAGGCTTGAAAAAACTTTACTGTAGCCCAAGAGGAGGGATTCAGCTATGTTAGAAACCAGCAGAGCCCAAAGAGGTAAGCAGAAGTAGGACAGACTGATCTGTGTTAGAAAGCAGCATGACTGTCCTGAGCCATACACGAGCCATACAGCCCTCTCGGGGCACACGGGCAGAGAGGAGCGCTGCTCCTCAGCTCCTCCTTGCTCCCCTCGACTGAGATTTACCCACTGGCACATGTCCGAGGCCCATTAGGTGGCCCTGAGTGGCAGTTCTGGCAGCCAGTCCTGGTGCCTTGAGCTCTTACCTCTGCCCTCCTTCGGCTCCACTTGGCCGCTCCAGCCCTGCTCTGGAGGATTAATGAGGCCTGAAGGCAGGGCTGGATACCTGCACTTACCTGCCATTAAAAAGAGAGAGCCAGTGCTGCTATTACTCATAAGAAAGAGAAAGACTCACATGGCACGTCTAGAAAAAACAAAACACAGAAACTGCGCGGGGCTACGTGTCCGCGTTGCGTTACTCCCCTCGTCAGCCAGGGTGCCACCCTTCAGCACCCACCCCTGGCAGGCAGTGGGAGCATGCTGCCTTCCATCCTCCCCTTCCTCTCTGGCAGCTGGGCCTTTGGTTCCACCCACACTACAACAACTTCCACAAAAGGCACATCTTCGCTATGAATGAATTAATTCATTACCATGGTTAAGACAGAGTAACTGGTATTTAATTTAGGAAAATACTGAGCGCATTTAAATGCACTTCTGCTCAAGAAAACCTGCCCCTTTAGGGTGAAAAGATGAGACAAACTGATACAATCTACACCCTCCCCAATACACTTTGCTTCCCCTTGACTATGGGTTGACCCAGCGCTGAGGGATCTGGTGGAGTTGGGAACGGTCAGGGTGAGGTTCATGGTTGGACTGGAGGAGCTCCAAGGGCTTTTCCAACCTCGCTGGCTCTGTGGCTTCAGTTTCCCTGGATTTACTCTTGCCCATATTCTGCCTGACAGGTTACCCCAGTCGCAGTCGGAATGGGCCCAGTTACTAGAATCTCAGCAGAAGTACCATGACTCAGAGCTACAAAAATGGCGTGAGATCATCAAATCCTCAGTGATGCTTCTAGACCAGGTGAGACTGCGTGGCTAGTTAACCCTGTGGCTAGAGGGTTACTGTGTCCTCCCAGCCACTCACTCACAACCCTTCAGTTCCACTGTAGTCCATCACGTGTGTCACCTCCGCTGCTGTCACCCTTTAGATCCATCTTCTGACGTGGCAGTGGGCAGCAGGTCCCAAGGGCTGTTTGCGGGATATTGCGGCTTCTCTGTCACCTCACAGGGGTCCACACATGTCAGGGAATCCTACAGCACCAAAAATCATGTATTAGCACATCTTATATCTAGTCTCCGGCATCCCAGTTGAGAAAGCAAACGTTCTTACCTCAACCCTGGATTCACACGTAGCTTGGGGGGATGAAGGGGACACACTCTGCACAAATCACAAAGCCAGGGGTTTTGGTATCTGTTCCCTCCAGAGCCAGCTGGACATGGGGCTGCTTCGAATGGAGCTCGTAAATAAAAGCTGCTCCCCCAGTACCTATTCTGCTCAGCCCCTTCTCCGTTACCATGAAGAATGGTCTCTAGGCTCCCCTCCTCCCAGTCCCCATTTGTACATCCCAGCCCCGATGCGCCGCTCCCAAAAGTTAATTGTGGTACCAACACTTTGCGTGGAAAAAGGAGGCACCAACAGGGAAGGAAATCCCAAAGCGCTCTCAGCTCTAGGGGAGCATCACAGTGGAGAAATTTCTTGTCTTGCAGATGAAGGATTCACTAATAAATCTTCAGAATGGCATCGGGTCCCGGGACTTCGGGTCAGATCCAGAGGAGAAACGGAAACGTTTCCACTAACAGGCAGGAATGCAGGAGGCCAGAGGACGGTGTGCAATATGTGTAAATAGGATATATAAATATATATATATATATATATAAATATATATATATACAGAATATAAATATATATATTATATACAGATTTTAAGAGAAAAAAAAAGCCTACGTATCGCGAGGAAGGATTGACCTCCAACACTGGCTGAAATGGAGCGTCTCGGTGGTAGCGTGGGGTGTGTGTGGGGAGGGCTGTGCTCTCCCAGCACTGAGGTGCACTGAGGGGTGCACCTGAGTGTGCTCCCCTGGGCCCGTGCACCACTCTTCTGTAATATTCCTGGCTGTTTGTCTGTCTGTCTGTCTGTTCTGTTTTTGTTGTTTCAAAGGGAAGCATCAGAGTGAGTGCCCCCCCCCCCCCCCCCCCCCCCCCCCCCCCCCCCCCCCCCCCCCCCCCCCCCCCCCCCCCCCCCCCCCCCCCCCCCCCCCC